CAGTAAAGAAGGTCTTAAAGTCGGGCGGGGCCGACTTTATGATACCCTACACCACTTTGCTAATTTAGTATAGCTCCACATAACAATTGAAAGTTTTTATGGTAGAATTCAATCATACACCCTATGATTATAATTTTAATTTAAAGTCGAAGGACTAAAAATGCCGAACCATTTGTATCTTTTAAATTCGGAATTGTATTGCCCATTTGGTGCACACTTAACTTGAAATCGGATAAAGATATATATGGGAGCTATATCCAAATCTGAACCGATCTCGATAAAATTTGGCAAAGATATTTCTGAGCTGTATTTGATATATTGCCCTGAATATCGTTGTTACGGAGTGCATATTACGGTTGTGGTTAACAAATATAACAAATCGGATGAATAATATATATGGAAGCTATAGCTATATCTGAACCGATCTTCACCAAATTTGACATACTAGCTTCTAGACTCACTTCAGTCGTAAGTGCCAAATTCCATTCCATTTGGACAAATATTAGACGTTTGGTGCACAATAAAAGGTAAATCGGACGAGGTTATATATGGGAGCTATATCCAAATCTGAACCGATCTCGATAAAATTTAGCAAATGTATTTTTGAGCTATATTTGATATATTACCTCAAATATTGTTGTTGCAGAGTGCATATTACGGCAGCGGTGTACAAAAATAACAAATCGGATGAACAATATATATGGGAGCTATAGCTATATCTGAACCGATTTCGATCAAATTTTGCATACATATTTTCAGGCCTAATTTGGGTGTATATGCAAAATTCCATACAATTCGGGCTGATATTACACGTTTGGTGCACAATAAAAGACAAATCGGACGAAGATATATATGGGAGCTATATCTAAATTTTGAGCGATTATCTCCAATTTCAATAGGGTTCGTCCTTGGGCCAAACAAATGATCTGTGCAAAATTTCATCTGGATCGGACAATAAATGCGACCTGTACTTTGTTTACAAAAATACATGGACAGACGGACAGACGGACGGACAGACGGACGGACGGACAGACGGACGGACGGACATGCATAAATCGACTCAGAATGTGATTCTATGCAGATCATCAAAAGGAACTATGGGTCTATCTCGTTTCCTTTTGCCTGTTACAAACAAATGCACAAAGACATAATACCCTGACCACCTTGTGGTGTAGGGTATAAACAGTAAAGAAAGTCTTAAAGACGGGCGGGGCTGACTTTATGATACCCTACACCACTTTGCTAATTTAGTAGAGCTCCACATAACAATTAAAAGTTTTTATGGGAGAATTCAATCATACACGCTATAATTATGATTATAATTTAAAATTCAAAGGACTAAATATGCCGAAGCATTTGTATCTCTTAAATTCGGAATTGTATTGCCCATTTGATGCACAATTAATTTGAAATCGGAAAAAGATATATATGAGAGCTATATCCAAATCTTAACCGATCTCGATAGAATTTACCAAAGATATTTATGAGCTGTATTTGATATATTTCCCTGAATATCGTTGTTGCGGAGTGCATATTACGGTTGTGGGTAACAAATATAACAAATCGGATGAATAATATATATGGCATATTACGGCTGCGGAGGGCAAAAATAACAAACCGGATAAACAATATATATGGGAACTATAGCTATATCTAAACCGATTTGGCATCCTTTTTTCAGGCCTAATTTGGGTGCATATGCAAAATTTCATACAATTCAGGCTGATATTGCACGTTTGGTGCACAATTAAAGGCAAATCGGACGAAGATATATATGGGAGCTATATCTAAATTTTAACCGATTATCTCCAATTTCAATAGGGTTCGTCCTTGGACCAAACAAATGATCTGTGCAAAATTTCATCTGGATCGGGCAATAAATGCGACATGTACTTTGTTTACAAAAATACATGGACAGACGGACGGACGGACGGACGGACATGCATAAATCGACTCAGAATGTGATTATATGCAGATCATCAAAAGGAACTATGGGTCTATCTCGTTTCCTTTTGCCTGTTACAAACAAATGCACAAAGACATAATACCCTGACCACCTTGTGGTGTAGGGTATAAAAATGGAGATTGTCTGAATGTAAAACCGACTGATACTATTTAATTCGTTTTACCTTGCCACCGACAAAGAATAATCCAGCTGATTCCCAATATATCTTGGGAGCACCCCAATAATCTGGAAAGCATAAAACACAACGGAAAAAATGAAAACGGCAAACATTGGGTCCCAAATTGTAACAAAAATGCTAAGAAATCTTTGTATATTTTGCGATTTTAAGAACATACCCTGCAAATTGTCATAATAAGTCCAACCATTCATTATATGCATAGTAACTAATATCACCCCACATCTGATTTTAAATGTAATTAGTTTTATTTTTCTGCTCAGCGAATATGGTTGTGTATACGGTTGAACAATGCTGGGAAATATTGCCAGAATTTATATTACTATAAAAATCGTCAGCTCTGTAAATAAACAAGTAAAACTGTCGCATGGGCATAAAAACCCGCACGCATACATTAACAAGTAAGCAAAGGCTTAGCCGTGCGGGGCCGACCATGTGATACCCTACAACACTACAATATGTTGGAAGCCCTTTTGATGCCTGGATCCAATTTGGAATATTTAGCTTTTGAAATTAGGTCATGGAACACTGCCTAGATATTACCCTTAGCGTTTTGACCAGGGACATTTGCCCAATATTTACGCACTCCATCGTGCTGTTAGTTGTTGTGGTCCATTTTATAGCTAAATATACCAATGTTTATCCAAAATGCTAGAATTCTTCCCCGTTCTTAACTCTCTTCAATTGTGTGAGCAGGAAATTTTTTCTGTTTTTTTATACCCTCAGCCATATGGCTGCAGAGGGTATATATCATTTGATACGGTGAAAACATGCCTAGTCGAAATAATGGTTTTAGACCCTAGGTCTTGTAGCATACAACGATTTCTTATTGGTGGTAGATGGAGTTATGGAACTGTGTGACACCTGCACGCGTTGCTGCCGGCCTTGTGGCTCGTCGGTGGGGGGGTTCATTTGGCATCAACGTCCCTTATACCATTGGGCTACAGAAGATTTAACAATTTTTTTTTTTTGCGTGCGAGAACGGAATAATTAATTTTTTCTAGAGACTTTAAAAGGTATTTAAGAGTTAATATGTAGACAGATTAACAGATGAAATAGCACTACTAGGGAATAAGATAGGATGTAAGAGAAAGTAAAAGAGTTCTAGAATGTCAAAAAAACTTTAGCAACAAGGCGGCATTTGTTGCATGCATTGCCCTCCCAACCATTGTCATAACCTGCCAAACGTATCCTGAAGCAAAAATTTCGGTATGACCCCATGTATAATTCAACCAGCCTTTACAATGACTACAAAGGATCAATCAAATCATGTTCAAGTTTTATTCATATTAGTAACTATAATAAATAAAAAGGAATTCATGTATACGTATCAAAACTAAACTAGACATATTATTATCCCAGGGGCAGAACTTTAACTAGCAGTTAATTTTGAAAAAAGTAATGAAACTATTTGGAATAAATAATATGATGACATCGAGTTTATACAATGTATAGTAAAAAAATCATGAAATGAAATTAAAAAGATTTAAATAATTTATAAGAAAACGAAAAATATCAGCAATTTTAAATTAGGTTGTATAAATATAAAAATAAGACTAAATTCATTCATAGTTGTTAATTAACACATACTGTTGGTAGGGTGCAAAAATGCTCAAATGTTCAAACAAATGAATTGAACAAGAATTGATAAGCAAAAAAGAAAAAAAAAATAGTGGTTGTGCTTCTTTTTTTTTCTTATTCTCTTTGTTGCTAATTTTTCGATGGTCATAAACCAAATCCAGCAAAGTGTGTATCAACATTTGGGTAGCACTTCGTAATAATGTTTTAAAGATATGAGATGGAGAGTAAAATAGAGCATACAAATCAAAAAAAAGAGCTCTGTAATTTTTTCCTATTACTGCTTAAATACCAAGTAATAATCAACATTATTGCTCCATGACAACCCAATTATGGCGACTCATATATCCAACTCTCATTTAAAAAAAAACATAGCAAAACCAAGAAGAAATAAATCAATAACTCACTCAATTATCACGATCCCACGACGAAAGTACTTTCGCAGAGGCATTGATGGTCGCTGCGCTGCTGAATGCGCTGTTTCTACGGCAATCCAAAATTCGATCACTTGCTGTTGATGCTCTTAAAATAAAGTTGTTATATGGGAGTAGCAAATTTGTCGCCAACTGTTATACACAATACGTTGATTTTGCAAGGGTAAATGTTGCTGTCTCATTTTCACATTCAGATGCAATTGAATATTTTAATTTCATTTAGAACACTGTTTTAACTTCATTAAGACTCCATTTTGTGCTTCTTCAAACTCCATTTTAACATTTACCAACATCATTATCCCACAACCCAAACCCTTACAGCCACAATTATGACCATAATAAAATGACCATTATTATGTTCGAGTGGCATGAGTGTTGGGAAGTGATTTGCAAAATCAACGGTACACACTTCTTTTTTCTATTAAATTTTACGAATTATTTGGCACTGTCAATTTTTTATGGTTGACTTAGGGGTTATTCTAGAAAAAGTTACACTAACTTCACTATGCCAATAATATAAATTCTATATACAATAAATATCACTTATTCAAAACACTTAATTTAAGGACTTTTAGAATAAAAATAATTACTTAAAATTATGATTTTAGGACTAAAACTGCAGCTAGTTCTAACTTCTTTTAATTTATAATGTGTTTTCACCGAAATGTGAGGTTATCACTCCCCTTCCTTGCAGGTTCACTTCATTAACCACTGCCGATGTTAAGTTTCCAACAATTCCACTTCCGTATACATCACTTCTTCACAAATCTTTGGTGAATAATTTATGAATATTATCACATGGAAATTTTAGGAAACTTCGGTCAATCTTAAACGTTGCCCAAATAAATGCTGAGATGCTTAACACACGACGATCAAACACAACTGTATCACAATCAATTGCACAGTCTGATCGATGTTATGAGAACAGTTATTGGATTTTTTGTGTTATGCTTTCTGTCGTGTCCTAATAAAGCTTTGGCACTCAGCTTGCATAATTCTATTAAGAAGTAATTGAATTATAAGCATTATGAAAAAAAATAGAGAATGAAAGCTATTACCAGTGGTATTATTCAATTTCCAGACCAATCCAATGTAAAATCATGTAAAGCATCTTTCAATTGAAATCATATGCAACTCAAACGAAACCCTAGGCACTTAATGGAATGGTGATTTCATCTTTGAATTAATTGATGTAAGATTCGGCTATCAGGTTAATCTGTTGAAGCCAGATATAAAATATAAAAAATAAGATTTTCAGGGTACAAAACTCACATTAAGTCAAGTGGTTCAGTGACAAAAATATTTCAGCCAACCAGGAAAAAAAATCCTTATCAGAATTTTGTAGTTTTTTTTTTTAATTTTCTTCAATTCACTTTGAAAAAACGAGGCAGCCATGTAGAAATACCTTATATCGATGCCTACCCTTGGTGTTACTTTTGACAAAATGGACGGATGCTGCTATTTCATCGAAAAGGAAAACTTGGATCCGGCTGTAATACATAATTGTTCTTCCAGTTAAAAAGAGGAAACAATTGGCAACAAAGGTGGGAAAAACGTCAACGAACTGATAGGTATATTCCAACAATGAACCGGTTGATAGATAGATGGCGCTAAGTATATGGACAACAGGCATACCACAATCATAAAAATTGTAAAGCACTACATTTTTACAAGAGCAAGCGCTACTACAGTCTCTTTGGACCAAATCCGTTTCAGAACATTTGGAGTCGATCTAGCGATGTCCGTCCGTCCGTCCGTCTGTCTGTCTGTCTGTCTGGCTGGTGCGCACGATAACTCTCGAAGAGAGTATCCGATTTGATTCAAACTTGGTACATCGTAATATTTTTGTCAAACTTAGATCGAGTTCGGAGATGACCCACACAAAATTTCAAAATTTTCAAAGAAAATAATTTATTGCACAGAAAGAGAAAGGATAATCCGATTATGCTTGAACTTTGCGAATCCTCATATTTTCATCAGTGCTAGGTTATGTGCGAAAATGAAGAATATCGGTCCACTCCATCAGGGACCTCTCCCACAAAGGGTCAAAATTTTGAATAATTAAAGCTCTTATAAAATGTGATCTAAGAGTCCGATAGTCTTCAAATTCCACACATCCTAATAATTTTATTAGCCCAAGGTCTGGTGCAAAAACGGAGTTTATCGGTCCACTCCTTCTGGTACCTCACCCACAAAAGGTCGAAATTTTCAAAAATATTTTTTGCACAAAAAGAGAAACGATAATCCGATTTTGCTCGAACTATGCAAATCCTCATATTTTCATCAGTGCTAAGTCATGTGCGAAAATGGACGATATCGGTCCACTCCATCAAGTACCTCCCCCACAAAGGGTCAAAATTTTGAATAATTACAACTCTTATAAAATGTGATGTAAGAGTCCGATTGTCTTCAAATTTCACATATCCCAATATTTTTATTAACACAAGGTCTGGTATTAAGGGGCAATACATCGGTCCACTTATTTTGGTACCTCCCCCACAAAAGGTAAAAATTTAAAAAAAAAAAATATATATATATATATAATATATTTTTTGCACAGAAAAGGAAACAATTAGCCGATTTTCCTCTAAATTTGCAAATCCTAATATTTGTGCTAGGTCGGGTGCGAAAATGGACAGTATCGGTCCACTACATCAAGTACCTCCCCCACAAAGGGTCAACATTTTGAATAATTTTAACTCTTAAATAATGTGATGTAAGGATCCGAACGTCTTCAAATTTCACACATTTCAATATTTTTATAAAACCAAGATCTGCTGTTAACATGGGATGTATCGGTCCACTACTTCTGGTACCTCCCCCACAAAGTGTTGAAATTTTGAATACCCATGAAGCTGATAAAACGCGAAATTAACATCCGATTCCATTTAGACTTGGCACATCTCAATATTTCTATCAACACAAGATCTGTTATAAAGGTGGTATAGATTGAACCATTTCTTCTCCCCCATACATAGGGTTCAAGATTTTGAAAAACAAAACTCTCAAATAAAGCGAAATAAATATCCGAATCTCTTTAAATTTCACACAAACAAATATTTTTGGGGGTCACAATTTTCAATAATTTTATCTGTTATAACTTTCGAAACAATTTAGCAATTTTTTACTTGCTATGCTCAAATATTTCTCTAAATAAGAAGCCTGATATGAATATGAAATTTATCGGAATTTATGATTTTGTATAAAATTGGACATAAATATCCTTTCTTGTAATTTTGCCCAATATTTCGCTAAATATTTTTATTTGTATCAGATGAAGTCTAAAAGTGGAACATTTCGGTAGACTCTCTCCTGTAAATCACACACATTTTAACACTTTCTAAAAATTATTACATATCTTATATAAAGTGAAGGAGTGAGTCGATATAATTCATACCAGGAACGTCGGAATATTTATATCATATTTTTGGGTCCGATACGAAATGGACAATATTGGCCCATTCCTTCGGAACCTGCTCCATAGAGGGTCAAACGTTTGAATAATTGTAACACTAGTCAAATTATATTTAAATAATCGAACAGAGGCAGAGGGTATATATCTGTCGGCAATACCGACTGATACTTTTTAACTTGTTTTTTTTTTTAATATTTTGTGCTCAACTCCAAAACTATCACCAAATTTAAATTCATCTATTTGAATTGCTTTTCTACGATATTTGGCTTTATTCATCAACGAAATCAGCATAAACCAGTAAGGAAAGCTCAAAAGTCGGGCGGGGCCGACTATATGATACCATACACCACTATGCATATTAAGTAGAGCTCTCGTAAAAGGGTTTATACAGGGCATTTCAGGGTTTATACAGGGCATTCTATCGTGCATTTTACGAACTATAGTTATCTCTGAACCGGGTTTCTCCAAATTTGACGTATTAGCTTCTAGACTGAATTCGGTCTTATGTACGAAAATTCAGGTGATTTGGGCTGATATTGACCATTTAGTGCACATTTAACCCGAAATCGGATGAAGATATATATGGGAGTTATATCCAAATCTGAACAGATTTCGATAAAACTTAAAACAGCTATTCCTGTGCTCCATCTAATACCTGGTACCAAATATCACGGTTGTGGAGTGAATATTACGAATGTATGGGACTAAAACACTACATCGGATGAAACATATATATGGTTGCTATATCTATATCTGAACCGATTTTCACTAAATTTGATATACTTGCTTCTAGGCTGAATTTGGTCCGATGTACTAAAATTCAGTCCATTTGGACTTATATCGGCCATTTGGTGCACAATTAACCCGAAATCGGATGAAGATATATATGGGAGCTATATCCAAATCTGAACCGATTTCGATAAAATTACACACAGCTATTTCTGGGCTGTATCTTATATCTGGTACCAAATATCATTCTTGTGGATTGCATATTACGAATGTGAGAGGCTTAAACACCAAATCGGATAAAACATATATATGGGAGCTATAGCTGTTTCTGAACCGATTTTCTCCAAATTTGTTGTATTTGCTTTAAGGCTAATCTCGGTCACATGTGCCAAAATTCAGGTAATTTGGGCTGATATTGGATATTTGGTGCACATTTAACCCGAAATCGGATGAAGATATATATGGGAGCTATATCTAAATTTGATCCGATTCTCACCAATTTCAATAGGGTTCGTCCTTGGGCCAAAAAATTATTGTTTGGAAAATTTCATCTCAATCGGATAATAAATGCGACCTGCATTTTGTTCACAAGAATACATGGACAGACAGACGGACGGACAGACGGACGGACGGACAGACGGACGGACGGACAGACGGACTGACATGCATAAATCGACTCAGAAAGTGATTCTATGAAGGTTCTCAAAAGTAAGTATGGGTCTATCTTGTTTCCTTCTCCATGTTACAAACAAATGCACAAAGACATAATACCCTTACCACTATGTGGTGTAGGGTATAAAAAGCCAGAAGTTCACCTTTTGTGTATTTCGAAAATCGCCTGTAAGTAATGTTGGTATTTTTTCACACAAAAGTTGTGGCCCATTCTGCCCGCTGTCCTAAACTCTAACTTCATGCGAGATCTCCTTTGGATTCAATTTGTTAACTTTATAACGGCTGCAAAATCATGAATATTTTTAGTTGTTGGACCATTTCAAATATATTGCGGACATATTTGAAAATAATAGGCCTAGCCATTCTGAGCCTAACCCTACCCTTCTTCGTGAGGATAATTGCAATCTGTATATAATAACCCCAACTTGTGTTGTAAAATGAAAAAATATTACAAAATGTACAATTCAATATTATAAGTCAAATTGAAAAAATCGCATGCGATAAAAAATATGAAAAAATAAAAAAAAAGTCAAAAAATACTTATGTTAAGAGGTCTTTCTGAATTGGCAAAATTTGACCAAAATCTGCTAACATCTCCTTCCTTTCTATATATACATTGTATCTGTTTCGCTATATACATCCGATATATTTACTATCGGCATCTACATAACGGTCAGAATTGACCTGTTCATCTACTTGTGATTACGACAGGATTAAAAATATTTGCGGTAAATGGAAAATTTTACTTTTATTTAACACAAATGTTATGGTCTTTTTTACCCACTAAATATTACCCGATGACCATTGGAAGGCTTCTGTCCAGCCCTAAGTTCTAGTCCCATGCTAACTTCCGTTTCGATTGGTCTATAATTGCGACCTGTAGTGCAGCTGCAAAATCATGAAAATTTTCATGCGAGCATCTCCAAAAGCAATAGGTTTCTATTCCGGCCCTACCCCCACCTCCATTCTAAATTTCGTAAAGATCGGGTCATATTTGCGACCTGTAGAGTGATTACAAATTAACATGGACAGACATACGGACGGACATACATAGCTAGATCGACTCAGCTGGGCGAGATAAAAGATCCATATATACTTTCCTATGTGGGAAAACAATATTTCGAGGTGTTACATAATTTTTGGCCCAATCAAACTTATAATACCCGCAACACAAAGTGTTGTAGGGTATATAAAGTCGATGCACCCGAAGCCAGTTACTGTTTGGTGTAGATTTGGCCCAGAGGCTCAGTTGGGCAATTTTTCTTTGAATATCAGCAATGAATGACCGTTACGTAATCCGGCCGACGGTCACCTGCATAAGCCATTACAATATTCAAATGCGAAACTTAAAAAATAAATCGGTGAATAATGTTGCTAAAACCAACAAAGTACCGAATATCGGGAGGTACCGTTATATGGGGGCTTTACGAAGACGTGAACCTGCATACGAAATCTCCTGTCATAGGCTGTAGCAACCATTACGAACAGCAAATACCAAATTTTAAACAATTCCGGTGAATAGTGTTTATAAAATCAATA